TATAACTTGAAGAAAAGGTGGCCATCATGTCTAGGAAGGCCTTTACATAGCTTCAGATTGTGTGCCAGTTGTGCCCATATCTGGATCGGGTGGCTCTATCATTCATTCTGTGTCCACCTCCTATATGGATTTCTGTAATGCACTCTACACATGGGCTGCCCTTGAAGAGTATTTGGAAGCTTCATTTGGTAGAAAATGTAATGGAACAAGCAGATCTAATTTGCTGGTAGCCAATGTATCCTGGTTTGTAAGTAATCAAACAATAAATTTTATCAGTCAGGAAAGCAGTACTCAAATTTGTTGATGTGGTATATGAAATTCTGGTCTTCCAAGGCTGCTTTACAACTCTGTATGTTTGTTTAATCCAGGCAAAAATATATTAGAAATCTTTCTCAATAAGCTGTCCTATGCAAATATTTCTCTACTTAACAGCCACTATTGGGCCCGGAATCTTGGTCATTGAGCAAACTGACAGTTAGGCGAGAGGTCACATGGCTACTTCATTTAATGATTGCAATCCTGGTTATTCTAGTTGTTAAGTGGAGCACTGGGGAAAGGGCCAGGCCTCTCGGTGTAATGGGGTGGAAAGAGAACCTGACTTCCCTTCCCCCCAACTGGTATGCAATAATGATGGTATGTGCTAGCCTTTTTCCTTCTAGAGGGGCAAATGCTAGTATTTTCCCCCGTCAGGGAAAACATGACAGAACAAGCCAATATTTATCCCCCTCTGGCAGGGGAAACACTAGCAAATGCCTGCATTCTTAAAGGCTTAGAACAGTGGCATTCACTAGTGTTTTCACAAGATTTTATTTCCATTCCTCCTACACTGAGGAGGATTTCTCCTCCCTGTATAGAGGAGGGGAAAACATTCAATGTACTGGGGGAATGGACCTCAAATACAGTGTTCCCTTTATTTGCAACCTTCCCTGCCTTCTTCCTCATTGACTTTCTGGGGAAGCCAGCAGAGAAGATTGCAAATGATGATCATATGATTCCTAGGCATTTGGCAACCAGTCATAAATGCAAACAGGTTACCAATTACCAAAATGCAATTTTGTGGTGGTGGTGGTGGTGGTGGTGGATGGGCTACAGGTAAGCGCTTTACAATATTTTGTGGGTTGTAAAGCACCTGTGAATGTGAACTCATTAAAAAAAAATCTGCCGTAAGTCAAGGACCACCTGTATAAATGAGAGGAAAAGGGTATTTGATTTCTATTTACTTTTATAAAAATGTATTTGGCAGTATTAAGTTACAATTT